ATATATAAGGCAATATATATTACATAAGGCAATATATAATTATATATACACATAATACACCCTTATATATAAATACTATACATACTATATATACTATATATATTTATATAGATATATATAAGCAATTTATACTAGTATATACATATATAGTTTACAAGAAAGTGCCTTAGATAAAAAAAAATAGCCTGGAACGGAAAAAGCCCGTTAGGCCCGCGGGCCTAACCCATTTAGCCCGGGACCATGTGGGCTTAGGACCGTCGTGGGCCGGTTCCACACATTGGGATCATTTGGCCCGGGACCGTTTGGCTCGGGACCGCCTCAAGCTCAGGCCCGTTTGGCCTGGCCCGTTTAGGCCCGTTTGGCCCGGACCACAATACAGCATTAGTTCCATTTCTAAGGTGCAAAGACTACTGCGATTTGTAAGTTGCATTTGTCAAATTCTGGTTATTATGTTATACAAAGTATATATTATACTTGTTTAACTTTAAATCCCAATATTAATTTTAGTTAAGTAAAATAAAATTGTCCATGACTAAAACCTAGAATATCAATCAATCGAAAGGCACTTACGGCTCGTTTGGTATGAGGGATAAGGGATAACTAATCTCAGATTTAAATTTGAGATGAGTTTATCCAATATTTGGTTGGGATAAAAACGTGGTATAACTAATCCCCGGATTAGTTATCTTAAAATTATAGTATTTTTTTATCCCTATGGCAGGGTGGGATAACTAATCCCAAAATCATTAATAATGGAATAACTTGTTTTCCAACCAAACAATCCCTTAGGGTCTTTTGGGTGGAGTCCGGAACCAAAATGTGATTTTTTTAGAATCAAAGAACAAAAATATGTGGAAAAAAAATATAGTGACCAAAATATGTATAACTTCTCTGTTAAGGTATAGCGCCTTTTTAAAAGATGCTATATGTATAATGTTTTTCACTAAGACGCTATATATATTATGTGAGGCCACAAATAATTCTTCTGGGATTAACTGACATAACAATAATTCAACTGGGTATAGCATCTTAAGCTAAGACGCTATACCTCAAATAATTGACCCCCGGACTGGTTTTTGCCTTATAAAAAAACGTTAAAGATTTTGTAAAAATCCATTCAGAAATATTCTCAAGTCTTGTGAAATTTTTCTTTGTTAAATTGTTTTGCATTTTGTCATAATGTCTGAAGAGCGAAGAATTAGGGTTTCATTATATTAAGGGGGAGGGGATGAGGTTGTGGTGGCGAATAACTTAGTAAACTATAGTTTATCTCCACAGTCTCATGTTAAGTTGCAACTTACAATGGAGTACGATACATTGGTATCGTTGTTATGTAAAAAAATGAGTGTGAGCAAATGTTCGGTAAATCGTAAAGTAATCAGAAGATATCCATATTTTGTGACTCCGCAAGGGATTGCTTGTTATGCTGAGTTTAACATCAAAGACGATGAAACTCTGAGAAATTTTTTGAGCACTCCGGATGAATACCGAGAATTTATTATGATAAAACTATTCGAAATATACGTCAAGGCTGAAGACGTTCGCAATAATGAGGTTGCGCAAAGTAGGGAAATCCCTCAATCATTGGGTGGTTATTTTGGAGCAGTTTTAGCCAAACAAGTTCCGGCTGAAAGAGTTTGGCTGTCACAATCTGGATTTTCCACCCTCGGGAGTCGTAATGGCGCCTACTAGTGGAAGCTAGTCAAGCCGACCATTTGCACAAATTACTCATTTCCTATTTTAATTCCTTACCAAGTGTAAATCAACAGTTATAAACAGCGAAAATTTAAAGCAAGCGAAAGAAACGATAAACCATTTGAATATATATCCAATACAATGTCTTAAGCAAAAATCTACTCAGAACTGATGTCACGCTTCACAGACAGTCTAGAACTACTACAAACAAGGTCTGAAAAATAACTAATACACTGTTTCGGAAATATGTGAATGAAACAGGATGAAGGGTTAGAGGGAGATGCCAAGGCCTGCGGACGCCTGCAGGACTACCTCGGAATCTCCAATTGGACTGAAGGCAGCCACCCAAGCCAAGGTCTGAATGTTGCTGCTCCGGGATTTGCACACTGTGCAGAGTGTAGTATCAGCACAACCGACCTCATGTGCTGGTAAGTGTCTGGCCTAATAAACCTGTGCAATTATATCATATACAACGGAAAATAGAAATAGAAATATACAACTAAGGATGGGAGGGGGGCATGCCGCGGGGGAATATCATTTACCAACTGTAACTCAGAAGAAAAGCATAAAGAACAATCTAAAATTTGCGGCAGAAAGAATAAAGAAACTATAACCAATCAATAACCACTTTTATCATTTATTGTTGCGGCGCGCAACCCGATCCAAATAATAAAAATATTGTTGCGGCGTGCAACTCGATCCATACTATTTATCACTGTTGCGGCGTGCAACCCGATCCAATTATAATGTTGTTGCAGCGTGCAACCCGATCCAAATATAATATTGTTGCGGCGTGCAACCCGATCCAAATATAATATTGTTGC